ATCGTGGCCATTCAAATCTTAATCTTGACCGTCGGTCATACGCAATTAATTCTGAAATCATTATATAGGATTAATTATCTATACTAGTATTTTTGCAACACTTTGGTGACGGGTGGGTAAAAATGCTTCCGGATATATCGGATACCGACCCGTCTTAAAAATTCCTTCACAAAAAAACACTTGGATCGGGTTAAATAAAACCCATATATTGCACCGGATATTCTATATTTAATAATTTAGATATTTAGAAGATTTGATTAAGATTTAGAATTATGATTCTCCTATCATCTTTGTTTGATTTGTTTTTAACTGTTTTGAATCATCATATAATACATAAAGTAATAGAAAAAATCCAATTTTTTTCTGCATATATTGTGATTCGAAATTTTAAAAACGGACATATATTATCCAATTGACGAAAATGTGTGTTCAACGTTCTACATCGATTAAAATATTTAAACAATGATTCAGAATCATATCATAAATAAGATCAACATTAATAAAATAAATGAGTTTTTTGGCCGGACGGGTTTGGCGGGACGGGTTTTTGAATCAACAATAATAAAAAGATTAAATATCACTAATCCGCCGCTTCAATACGGATTAAATCCTTAATTTTTTTTTTAATACCACCAATATTAGACATATCAAATTAGTCTCATTTAGAAAATATTGTATAAAATCAAAAATTGTCATGTGGTATAACGTTACTTAATAATAATTATAAACTATAAAACATAAATATTTTATAAGGAAATACAATTTATAAAATTTTATATATATTAACTTTAAAAAATAAATCATCCCGCGGTATACCGCGGGTTAAAATCTAGTTATTAACTAAAATTTAAATATATATATATATATATATATATATATATAATAAAACTTTTAAATTGACTTGAATTATATGTCTATTACATAAAATATTATAAAAAAAACAAAATGATGTTTAATTTCACGGGACGGGGTTATATTGTGGGACAGGTTTGAATCGATATTAATACGGGATGGTATATATAACACGGATGACATCCTAAAATTAACAATCAAAATACTATTATACAATATTAAACACTTAACAAAATAAAAGTATTAAAAACAAATACAACTTAAAGTTTAGTTTTTTAGTTAAAAAATGGATAATATTAGGGAATAGCCAAATAAAACACATAAATAGGAAATTAGCAGAGAGAAAGGTTTTTGTCGGAAAATAGCCATGGACTCACGTTGTCAGAATATGTGAAATAGCAAAACCATCCTTCGTTTGTTTTGAGATCAACAGTAGGCGAGATTGTTTCGTGAGACTTTTCAAAATAGCACGTAAAATTTCACACGTTATACTTAACTAAAAGACATGCTATTTCAAAAAACGTAGTGAATTATTAAGAAAAAACATTGTTACGTAGTGTTTTTTTTAAAAAAAAAAAATTGTTATGGAAAAACTAAACTTGAATAGAATCTTTTTTTAAAAAAATAACATATGATCTTAATAAAAAAAACTGTGTATTACTAGAAAATAAGAATTTTTTTTTTAGGAAATCTCATGTGATCATAATTAAAAAAAAAACGTGCATTACTACAAAATAACATGATAGAGAGATATTAAACTGAATATAGTGTTTTTTTCAAGAAATACCATGTGCTCTTTATAAATAACGTGTAATACGAAAAAATAATATGATAAAAAGAGATATATTATTCTAGGGGTTGCCGCATTATTACGACCTGTACTATTTCCATTCTCAATGTTTCGACCCAAACTTTTCGGCTCTTCATAAATCGACATAAACTTTACTTATTCTTTATAAAACAACCTCAACTTTGTATTTAGTTCAAATATCTACACTTCCAATCGAAATAGATAATCCCGATTCTAAACCCGATTAAACCGTTAAATCACGATTACTGTTTCGCGTTTGACTTTATCCGACTATTTTGCCTCTGACCCGATAAACCCATTTTAGAAATGACGTCGTGTGTTTTGGAGAGAACAAACTCAAATCGTTTAATCTAGGGTTCTCCATATTTGGGGAAAAATCGAATTGGAGTGAATTTGGATTCTGAGAAATTTGGGGAAAACAGATTTTGAGTGATTTTCGCTTTAGGGTCTTCAACTCATGAGCTACTCGTCGGATTCATCGCGTTCAATGCGACGACAAGCTCCAAACGGTGTTCCAACGAGATGCTGGTGTGGAGAGGGAGTAACCACATTCACATCGAAAACAAAAGATAACCCTTTCCGGCGATTCTATAGATGCTCCATCGCATTGCCTATAAAGTCGACTTTTTATTTGTGTTCTTGTTTTATTTGTGTTCTTGATTGAAATGATTAATTGATCGGATTGTATATGTACCAGAGAGAAAAGGAGGAGCATTTGTTCAAATGGGTTGATGAAGCCTTGTTAGACGAATTAAGGGAGGTGGATGGCAAGTGTAGTAGAGTTATTGAGGATCTCAATGAATTGAAGACAGTGGAGGAACATATGGTTAAGAAGATGAAGAAGATGGAGGAAGAGATGTTCATCGGGTTTATCGGGTCAGAGGCAAAACAGTCGGATAAAGTCAAACGCGAAACAGTAATCGCGATTTAACGGTTTAATCGGGTTTAGAATCGGGATTATCTATTTCGATTGGAAGTGTAGATATTTGAACTAAAAAAAAGTTGAGGTTGTTTTATAAAGAATAAGTAAAGTTTATGTCGATTTATGAAGAGCCGAAAAGTTTGGGTCGAAACGTTGAGAATGGGAATAGTACATGTCGTAATAATGCGGCAACCCATTATTCTAGAGACTCACAAAAATGCCACTTTTTCAATACCCCTTTTTTAAAAATGCCCTCTTTGGCTGTCCATTTTTAAAAATACCCCTTTTTATGTACAAAATGACTAAATTACCCTTCTTTTAATAAAAGATATCACAAATATATAAGGAAATATAACAAAATTATGTCCACAAAATACAAAATATTTTTTGGCGGGAAAATGATCCGGCAATTTTTCCCGCCAAAACACTTGTAAAAACTTGTAAAACCTTTAAAATACCTTGTAAAATTTTCCCGTAAAATTTTTTCCCGCCAAAAAATTCTGCAATTTTTTTGGCGTTAAATTTTTGGCGGGAAAAATTTACAAGGTATTTTAAAGGTTTTTTACAGGGTATTTATAAGGTTTTACAATATATTTTAAAAGGTTTTACAACGTATTTATAAGGTATTTATAAGATATTATAAGATTTTACAAGCTATTTTATAAGGTTTTACAAGTTTTTTATAAGGTTTTACAAGTTATAAATACCTTATAAAACCTTATAAGTACCTTGTAAAACCATTTAAAATACATTGTAAAACCTTATAAAACACTTGTAAATACTCTGTCAAACCTTTAAAATACCTTGTAAATTTTTCCCGCCAAAAAAATTGCGGAATCACTTTTCCCGCAAAAAAATTTTTTGGCGGGAAAATTTTTACGGGAAAATTTTACAAGGTATTTTAAAGGTTTTTACAAGTGTTTTGGCGGGAAAATTGCGGGATCATTTTTCCCGCCAAAAAATATTTTGTATTTTGTGGACCTAATTTTATTTCAAATAAGGGTAAAATGGTCATTAAAAATTAAAAGAGGGCAAACTTAAAAATGGACTCTCAAAGGGGGCATTTTTGAAAAAAAGTATTGAAAAAGGGGCATTTTTAACAATTTCTCATTATTCTATCACATGTAATTCGAGAATAAAGCATGTTATAAAGGGCATATACATAATTACACGTGCTTTCCGACATGATACCGACAAGTTACTGTAGCATATGGCTATTTCGTTAATTATCCTAAAAAATTTGGCTATTTTGTTCATATTCCCTAATAAAATTAACCCGCGGTTCTAGATCATGACCCATGCCAAATAAACCCAAAAATAGCCCACTAAACAACTAAGACCCCATACAACAATTTTTTAAAAAATCTCTAATTATCAATAACTACTTAAACCAAATAAATTGTTAAACTCATAAAAAAAATGCCTACCAAAAAATAAAATCTCATAAAAAAAAATACAAATCTAATGCAGCTAAATATATTCAATTCTAAAATATAATATTCTCTCCTTCTATATTACCAAGTCATGTTTTCAACCAAATTAAAAATCAACAACATTTAATTCATATAATAAAAATAACCAAATATTATAAGGAAAATAGATCTAAAATAAGTTATATATTATTATTTACTTCTACAAACAAAATATACAATTTTCGTCAAATAAATAATATACAACATAATATCCAAATAGTAATAAACATAAAATTATATCATTTATTCTCTTTTATACTATACTATTACACTATATTATTTCTTACATAATTCAAATTAAATGAATAATATAATTTATAAAAAAATATAAAATCCAGTGCTGTATAGCACGGGTCTTTATCTAGTATTATTAAGATTTATTTACCAGTTTAACACAACACCAAAAAAGTATAATAAAATAGCTAGTATTAACAAAAATCAGAATATTAAAAGAAAAAAGACATTACTAAAACTATATACTATAAAATTATTTTATTTATATTTGGGTAACTTTATAAAGTTATTAATTTATAATATTGTTAAAACTGTGTATTATATAAAAGTATTATTTTTATTATTATATCGAATTGTGCTAAAAATTTTATTGAACTAATATGAAACCGGAAAGTTTTTAAAATGTAATTATTTTATTATGTAATAGTTTATAGAAATTTTAATGTGTAATCTTAAAGATAATCATATATATCGTAGGGCTGCCAAATAATTGACTCAATAGTTTTGAGCCGGGGAAGTGAGTGTCGGTCGGGGTATGTAATTCGGGAACCCATGTTACTTTCAAATGTGACCCAGACTCAACCTATGTAGAGCCCACTTACCTGCTGCTGCGCTGGAAATTGCGAGACAGCTTTCTTCTTATAATTATTTTATATATCTTTTATTATAAGACCTCTCTCCAAATGGTACCACACAAGTACTCTATCACAGGCGCCGAATCCTCCGTCCAAAAATGGCTTATTTCCGGCGAGCAGCCACCGCATTGGTTCTCATTTTTCAGCTCCATCTCTTTCTCTCTTTCTCAAATGCGCATAACATAACCCGAATATTGGCCAAAGACCCTGATTTCTCCACTTTTAACCACTACCTCTCTGCGACTCATCTCGCGGACGAGATCAACCGCCGGCAAACAATCACCGTCTTGGCCGTTGATAACTCAGCAATGTCCTCAATCCTCTCTAAAGGATACTCACTCTACACAATCCGCAACATTCTCTCTCTCCACGTCCTGGTCGATTACTTCGGCGCCAAGAAACTTCACCAGATCACCGACGGCTCCACCTCCACTGCCTCCATGTTTCAATCCACCGGATCTGCCACGGGAACTTCTGGATACGTCAATATCACCGATATAAAGGGCGGCAAAGTCGCTTTTGGTGTCCAAGACGACGATAGCAAGCTCACAGCTCACTACGTTAAATCCATCTTTGAAAAGGCTTACAACATCTCTGTTCTTCACATCAGCCAAGTCTTAACCTCGCCGGAAGCAGAAGCTCCCACAGCGAGTCCCAGCGACCTCATCCTCACCACAATCCTCGAGAAACAAGGTTGCAAAGCTTTCTCCGACATCTTGAAGTCAACCGGCGCCGACAAAACGTTCCAAGATACCGTAGACGGAGGCTTAACGGTTTTCTGTCCGTCCGACAGCGCGGTCGGTAAGTTCATGCCGAAATTCAAAGCCCTTTCTCCGGCGAACAAGACTGCGTTAGTACTTTACCACGGCATGCCAGTTTACCAGTCGTTACAGATGCTTAGATCAGGTAATGGCGCCGTTAACACGTTAGCGACGGAAGGTAACAACAAGTTTGATTTCACCGTTCAGAATGACGGAGAAGACGTGACGCTCGAGACGGACGTTGTGACAGCGAAGGTAATGGGGACGTTAAAGGATCAAGAGCCATTGATAGTTTACAAGATTGATAAAGTGTTGCTACCTAGAGAAATCTTTAAGGCCGTTAAGACGGCCGCTCCAGCTCCTAAGTCGAGTAAGAAAAAGCCTAAGAACGCGGAGGCTGATGCCGACGGACCTAGCGCCGATGCTCCGTCAGATGATGATGGTGAGGTGGCTGATGATAAAAACGGCGCCGTATCAGCGACGATTACTCGAACGAGTACTGTCGTAACGGCCATTTTCGGACTCTGTTTTGGAGTCTGGCTTATGTGATGTGACGTGGCAATTGCCTCGATTGGAATCTTGTCCTTTTTTTCTTGTGATCTTTTTTATTTGTCGGTTTAATTTATTTTACATATTCTTTTTTTTTTACGTTGATACTTTGTGTGGAGATTTGGAATAATTAATTGTTCCACTTGTGTTGGATCTGATATGTTTTATTCCTTGTTCAAAAACGCGGGCTCGGCGGCCGTTTAATCGCCGGTTAGGCGCTCGGCGGAGGGCAGCCGCGGCGATTTGGACAAATCGGCCATTAAATCGTAAACATCTAAATAATTCACGTTTACTAGATTTTTAAGCTTGATTTCGAATGTTGGATTATAGATCTATCAAAATTAAGTAAAAACCATAAGATATAAGGTAAATCTAACAAAATTTGGGGGAAAAAAAGTGAGGCGGCGGAAATTAGGGTTGTGAAAGTCACAGACAAAAGGTAGGAGACGAGGGTAATATAGTAATTTCATATTCATTAACCTGAAAATCGGAAAAAATCATAAATCTGCACATATTAACACTCGAACTCATGACCTGCAGCGCCTTACATGCTTGTGTAACCACTAGACTATGCTATACTCGTATCATTCCCATGCGTATTAAATATATATACCTAAAAAACATCCCCGATTAAATCCCGATTTAAATCCGATTTTCCGATTAATCGCTAGGCCCGCCCTCGCCGCCCGACTAGCGCCTAGCGATTTTTTGAACAAGGGTTTTATTTTTAAAAAAATGTGATGATGATTCAAAAGAGTGATTGATACGTTGGAATCACGTGTAGCTATGAAGATAGTGTCGGTGGAAGTCGAAATAGTGTGAAGCTATGAGCTGTAAGATGCATGTTACATCCTTTGTCGCCGTGGATTTGACTTATGATGATGCTCCCATTATAACCACACTAATACGAAATATATTATTTTAACATAATATTAATTAATGTATTCTTTCAATTACAGAAGAAATCAGGGTAGGGACAAGGATTATAACAAGAGTCTAATGAGTGTTAGTATTATGCATTTGCTTTGCTAATATGTTGGCCGCTTCATTGAAACCGAGATTCTTCAAACTTGCTAATACAATGTCAAAACTCTTTATGCAAATCAAAATCCATTTGCTGTCCAATTATTTGCTCAACTAGAATGTTTGAGTCATCTTTAAAAATGACTTGTCGATAATCTTTACACCATGTGTTGCATCGCATATAGTAAGGCTGCAAGAAGAATTTAAAAAATTTCTTTATCTAGCTTGGCCAGTTCCAAATGGGGTGATTCTTATTACATATTTTTAATTTTGTTTTTATTGCTCGATATAGATCTTGCTTGTTCCATCATCAATGCATAATAGTGTTTTGGGCTTGTTAATTTGGTAGTCTGCTTTAGAATTTGCGGTTTAGGTGTAACTCAAAATAATAATAATCATGATTTAACACTGGAAAATATCATTGGATATGCATAGACGAATCGATAAGTAACTCCCTTCGTTTTGCATTGTTCTCTCGCCTCTGTTCACTTTTTTTTGACCCATGTACCCCTATGTCATCAATTCGTCTATGCATATAGATTATAGGCTATATCATTGCAGAAGGTAGGAGAAGATTTTGCGAGATATTGTTTTGGGGAGTTGTGTTAATTTAATTTTTTTTTTAATTTTTTTCTTGCCCAGTTACCGAACAGTCGTGTTTATTCCGTCCTATATGAGGAGGAGAGACGGCTTTTTGAGGCTGAAAGAGAAGGGAAACAACTCCTCAAAACTGTCCTCTCGCATTCTGTTTCTCTGGTTCTGTTTTTCGAGCAAGGGTTTATCTCTCAGATCTGGGTTTTGTTATTCTCGCTTTTTTCTGGTAATTAAAATCGATTTTTGTCTGTTTGATTTTGCTTCCGACGACATGTTTTGTGTTGTCTAACTAGAGTTTATCTATTTTTTTCAAGAACCGATGCCTCCGATTCTTCTTCCTCCCCGGTTGATTGCGTTTGGTGAAGAACCTCGCGGCGAGAGGGTTAATGTGTATCATAAGATGAAAACTCTTTGCGGTATCTTCAACGCCCTCGACGATGGTGAACGGGATTACCTTTCTAGGTCTTCATTCGGTCGCCTGTTGGAGTTTCCTAACCTACCCGCCTGGTCTGCGAGCTTTGGGATTTTTTATTTTGGGTAGACAGTTGGAGGTGGCGAAGCCAAACGAGATCTGGGTGCTATTCGCGGGTATTCCTATTCGTTTTTCTCTGAGAGAGTTCAAGATTGTTACCGGTTTACCTTGTGGGAAGTATCCGAGTTTGAAAAAGAAGAAGAAGAAAGGCATTGCGGGGAAGACAATTCCTTTTTACAGTAAGTTGTTTGGGCTTGAAGAAGATGTAACCGTGGAGAGGGTTATTACGATGTTGAAGAAAAGGATTGTTTCTGATCCTGATATGAGGATCCGATGTGCTTGCTTAGCTATCATCGATGGTTTCCTTGTCCCTACCTCTCATTATCCTAAGATTGTTAAAGCTCCCGCTGAAATGGTTGAGGACGAGGATGCTTTCCTCGCTTATCCCTGGGGGCGTCTCTCTTTCGAGATGATGATGAAGTCGATAAAAGAGAGGGAAATTGAACAATTAGCAATTACTTGTTTCAGCGTTCAGGGGTTGCTATACGCTCTGCAATCGGTTGTCTTACAGGCAGCTCCATCTATTCAAGAACGTCCTGTAATTGAAGAGACCATTGATTCTGAACCTGAAGGCGACGAAGTCTATATTGAAGAGGCCCCTCGAGAGTCTGTCCCTTTCAAGCTAGGGAATGCTAAAGAGTTGGATAAGAAATGCTCGGTAATACTTTTATCTTTTAACTTTGTTAACACTTAGCAACCTTGTTATCAGTAAATACTAGGTATATGTAGCCACGCTACGCGTGACTTATTATTGTTTTTGTATAGATTTTAATAGTAGTGTAACAATCAAATGATTCGACTAAATTTAATTCTAAATAGGAATAAAATTACATATATATATATATATTAATATGGTATTTAAACTTTTTGTTCGTTTGTTCATGTAAAACTCGTTTGATTGATTTACAATAATAAAAAGTTAAATAATTTTTGAGTAAAATATATATATATATATATATAATATTTGGAGAATAATTTTAAACTATTTTCTTTCTTTCTCATTATCCCACGCAATTCAAGTTATATTGATAAAATTTATTTTAGATATTTCACCTTTATAAAACTTTTACTACTAATTAAGATTATTGAACCGTTTTAATTAAAATTTAAATAATAATGATATTATTAACCACAAACCTTGAATAAATAAATAATATATATATATGTTAGATCATTATGCATATATTAAATTTTTGAGATATTGGTGGAGGAAAATGAAAGAAAGATTATTTGTAGGATGATGAGTGTTGGAAGTTATTTTTAGAAAATAAATACATTTAGGGAGTTACAGTTTTTTGTAAAATTAGTAGGAAAACCATTCAAATTAAAAATTATGGTCAATGATTTTAGTCAAGTAATAAATGTATTTTAGTGGGGTTTTGATGTTCTTATAATTATTTTGTATACAAATTACGTATAAATTTAAATGTGATTTAATAATAGATAGTATTATATTATATCATAATATTAAATATTTGAAAATATTAAAAACCAGAGAGTGAAAGTCATATAATGTATTTTCTAGATATACAAAAAATGTTGTTACACTATTATTTATTTTTATTATACAACATTAAGATATTTATGTTAAATATTTTTTATATTCAACTCAATTTAAATATTTATATGATTTAAATTGCTAGGTTGGATTATAAATTTTTGTAAATAAATTCTTTTATTTTAGAAATTAACTTAAACCACAAGCTTTGGAGAGAATAAACATTTTAGTTAATGATTTTTATATAATTATTTATTGGATCACAAAAATTAATCTGATGAGTATATTAAAAATAATACAAAACATTATTTGAGATAAGAAAGAAGTATGTAAGAAATTTAACAAAAATATTATTTGATATTACAATAATTTATTTATTGTAGAAAATAGAGATGGATCTTCTCAACTTGATTTTCTTCTTGTGCAATGGTTGAATTGATATTTGAAAACTTCATTGTTAAATCTGCAAAGTATGTAATTTTGAATTAAGATCAGAAATTATAGCCATCAAATTTATTATTATACATTTGTAGTTTTGAACTAAAAATATGAAAATTAAAGAAAGAATAAGTATATTCAAGTAAGACATTAGAATAAAAATAAAATTGAAAACAATGTAAAATATATACCTTACAGTCTCTAAAAACAAAATTTATAATCAAACCTTTACAATGATGTCTCAATTGATTTTTCAACTCATGCAACAACACAAAAACAAAGAAAATATTTAAGATTTGAGATATGGTGGAAGAAGATGTGAGAATGATTATTTATAGTATAGAAAGTGATGGAAGTTACATTTTGATAGTAATTAAATTATAGGAGTTACAATTTGAATTTATAGTGTGTTTGAATGACATTGAGTGTGGAAATACAATTAATACACCATTTGTATGATGGTTACAATTTGGTATTAAATGGTAGATTAATGTATATGAATAAATGTGTTGTATTTGTGGTTTAGTAAGACATAAATATTATTATAATTTTTTTTGAAAAAGTGAATTGCCAAGTGGACCAATCATGGGAGAGTGAAACCCTACTTTTATATGTATGATTGTATAAGTTACCGATAACTATGTCGTTAATCCGTATCGCCTTTTTTAGTTAATGAAGTTACTGCCACCTAATATTATTATTTGTTTTTTTTTGCAGATTCTTGTTGATACCATTATTTGTCCTGATTTGGTGTTGGATCCGGAGGAAGATTTGTCTTGGTCTGATGATGAAGAAGATGAGAAGGTTGATAATATTCTAATGTTTGTTGAAGAAGGTCTAATTTTCAAGAATGACATGTTTGATGGTGGATGTATCCCATCCCAGATGCAATTGCCTTCCAAAAAACAAAAGCGTGGTGGTAAATTGAATGGTAGTCGTACCAGGATAGCTCCCAAACTATCTAAGAACGGTGGGGTTAGGGGTAAACATCAGAGACCCATCCCTGAGGAAGGCGGGAGTCCAGGGGTTGTTTCTTTGGAATCTATTTCTCGCTTATTGGACTCCAAACTTGATGCTCAGGGGAAAAAAATCATCGCCGCTGAGACTGATTGGTTCACAAAAAACACTGTTATTGAAGGCGAAACCTCGAAAGAGCCTGTCAGTGGTTCTAGTCATCGTAAGAAGCCCGCCAACAATGGTGACGATGGTGTTTCAAATTCGGATGATCTGGATTCCAACGGTGGTAGTGATGATTTTGGTTTTGATTCTCTCCGCCCCTCCTGTGCCAATGCTCGGTCTCATAACCGCGAAAGAACTTCTAATGTCGAGGCCAGTGTGGATGAAATTTTATCTTTCTACTCTGGGAAGGTGTCAACTGGTGTTGGTTGCAAGGAAGCGGTGGTAATTTTATTTTTTTCTTATCAGTTTCTGTTTTTCTGGGTGTGTGGATTTTTTTCTTGACTCTGTCTTTATTTTTTTGTTTTTAGCGGGTGAACGTTGTTCCAATGGATGAAGACATTTCCACTGCAGGCGATGTTGTCCATAATTCCCAGGTGGGCGAGTAGTCAATGTTGGGATTTAGCTTAGTTATTTCAGAGATTAGGTGTTATCTTAGTTAGATGCTAACAGTTACTTTACCATTAAACATATAATGTGGTTTTTGTGTGTTTTTGTTGTATAACATAGTGTGTTATTTATTTTTGTAGGGCGTTAACAATGTTACAGCTGAAGTAATCTCACCCCCAAAATCTGTTGCTGAAGATAACTCCGAGGTTAGTTGTTATGTTTTTGATGGGCTAACAGTTAGTAATATGTTTTAATCTAGTAGTTGTTATTTTGGAGTTTTGGTAACCAGGTTTGCGTTTCCACCCACCATTAAATTAAATTTCTTTTGAGTTTTTTTTTTGGTTCTAGCATCAAAACAATGTCCCAATGGATGAAGATCCTTCCTCTCAAGCCGGCCTGATCGCTGATCCGCAGGTAAGCTAGTAGTGGTGGTTTTATTCAACTAAGAGATTAGTTGTTATCTTGTTAGTGCGCTAATAGTTATCTTATCATCAAGCCATATAATGCGTTTTTTATGTTTTTTTGTGGATAACAAATTCTGTGCTCATTTGTTTTGCAGGGCGCTAACAATGTGTCATTTGTTGTTGACACCTCTCCCCAAGTTGGTAAAGATGATTCTGAGGTTAGGTGTTACGTTCTTAGCGTGCTAACAATTGTAGTCGCTAACAATGTTGTTGTGGGATAACAAATACTGTGGACATTTGGTTTTGCAGGGCGCTACCATCGCAGGCGGTGTTGAACCCCCTCTTCAAGTTGGTGGTGAAGATAATTCAGAGGTTAGTTGTTACGTTCTTAGCGTGCTAATTATTGCTTTAACATCTTATAGCTAATTTCACCATTTTTCTTGGTATTTAATATTGCGGTAAATGTTTTTGTAGGTCGCTAACAATGATTCTGTCGACGACCTCCCCTCTATAGGAGTTGTTAATGAGGCAAGATATTAAATTTATTTTAGCGACGATCTCCTTCTCTTTTATCGACGTAATCATCATCTTGAATTCATAGTATTTTGCTAAAAAAATTTTTTTTTCCTTTTTTCTTTAGCGCGCTGAGACTGTTTCAGTAAATAAATTAATTGTAACTCCCAACGAAACGATCGTTAACGAAGAGGTTAGTTGTTATCTACTTAGTACAGACATTATATACTTAGTGCAGTCATTTGCTGCTTACCTGTTTCTTAATATTTGTTATTGTTTTAAGGGACAGGTTCAATACTCTCAGCCGACAGGTGGTGTTGTGGCCCCCCTGCCAAATGCTGTAGAGGAAAGCCAGGTAATAGGTCTATTTTATACTAACAAGATAGACTATGTCTCCCTTTTGCATTTTATGTTTTTGCTTCTGGCTTGATTCATTTCAACTTTTCGTTGCTCAGGGTGTTGCTTCGTCGGATGATGGTACTGATGGCGAGGAGACGTCTGGGGAGATTCCGGATATCTCGGTTAGCAGCTAAATTATCACCCATATTGTTCTCATTTCCTTAGGATTTTCTTTCCTCTTCTCTTCTACTCTATCTTTAAAGATTAATTTTCGGGTGATAATGTTTTTAGCCTCTAAACTATCCTTTTTTTCGGGTTGTTGTTATTACTTATAACTTTATCGGTGGTATAAAATTTCAATTTTATTTATATTAAGATAGTTATATTGATCAATGTATTTCTCCACTCGAGCCAACTCTAATCTAAATATGAAAGGTTTAAGTACTAAGATTCATATTTATGTTACTCTGTTCAGTATTTCCTATGCCTATTTTTACTTAGTCTCGACCTCAAGTTGTGTGTGGGCTTGTTGTTGATGGGAAGATTAGTGGTGTACCTCTCGGTGTGTCTATGGCTGTTTCAGACACCAATGACCGTGTTACTTTGATAACTATTTAAAATTTAGTCATTCTGTATTACCGGTTCGGTACTTATGTTGATTTTTTGTTCTAAAATTTTTTCTTTGCGTAAGGCTGCTCTGCTTCTGATGGTGGTTTTGTGGGTGATGGAAAGGCGGTTGATATCCCTGAGGGTGTTTCTATGGATATGACAGGAAATAAAGATCTGGTTAGTTTGTTACCAATATCAATATCGGTTTAGATTATTATCAGATATTTTTGTCATTTCACTATTTCCTAATTACCTACTTAATTCATATCAGGACTCTGACTGTACTGCGGACTCTTCCGGCGAGGGCGATGAACCAATTAAGGAGTCATCTAAGCATGTTAGCTTATAACTTGTCATTTATCTGATAATTTTTATCTTTTCTCTATTTGTTAACTTTTTTATTGCTCCTATATTTGTAGGCTGTTGGCAGGGGTGCCTCTTCTGTTGTTTCATCACCACGCCAGGTTGTATGTTATTTTATATGTTTTAGTTTTGTTTCCTAATAAATCTACAACCTTCTATTAATCGTGCTTTGTGGTTGTTTTTCTCAGGATTCAGATGAGGTATTCTCTAATTGTTTAGTGTTATTGTTTTGGTTAGCCGTTAGATTTTGTTTTAACTTTTTTCCCAATTTCAGGATTTCACCACTTCCCCCCCTGCCAAAGTAGCGAAGGCTCCCCTACTGGTTTATTTTGATATTCATTTAGTATTTTTGGTAGTTTAACTCAAATTTTGCCCATTTTCTAATTTATTCCCCTCTCCGTGCAGGATGATGGTAATGCAAATAATGTGGATGGAATGCTTGGTAGAAGAAGTAAAAGGCTCCGTACCCTTTCTAGCAAGCTTGATGGTCGATTCCAGTATGATAAGAAAACCAAGTTGTTAGTTGGTCATCCATCTCCTGTTGTCAATCAAGCCAACTTATGCGTTGACCTTGAGGAACGCTTCCAAAATTCATTGAAGAAACTCAAGGCGATAAGGTATTGCTTATTCTGATAATTTTTATGTTAGTGTATACATTGATTTCCATTATATTTCCCTCTCCATAATCTTTCATGTAATCTTGTTCTCTCAACAGTTCTATTAGTTTTTGTGGTGGTGTCGCTCTCTCTAATAAAGATATTTTGGATTTAATTGACCGGAAGAAACATCTTTCAAATAAGGTACTATTTTGGTAAAATATATCCCTATTGCGTGAGTTTTATATTGGGGTTTTTACTTTTTATTTTATTTTTATTTTTTTTTTGTCATCCCCACAGGTTATGGATGCTCTCCTAAAGTTTAGTCGTCATTTGTTGAGGACTGATGATGCTGATGGTGAGAAACTTCGTGTTGAAGTCCTTGATACAAAGTTTGTTTCACTATTCTGCCGTCAATTCCCTAAGTTTTCCCGATGCCCCTCCAAAACGGACTTCCAATTCTCAGCGCCTCTAATTGATCTCCTTTCTGGCGTTGGGGAATCTGACCGTGTCCAGTTATTCACAGAGGCTGATTTCATGTACCTGCCTTTTAACTTTGACAAAAAGCATTGGGTAGCTTTAGCTGTTGATCTTAACTGCCGGAAGATCATTGTCTTGGATTCGAATATTCAACGCCGCAGAGATTCTGCTATTCAGGATGAGCTTATGCCTCTCGTAGTAATGCTGCCATACCTTTTCAAACAGGCTGCTTTCAATCCTCTTATGAGTAACTGTCTGCTGAATCCATTTTCTGTAGAGCGCCCTCTTGTCATTCCCCAGGTTGTTTCACCCCTTGATTCCGGCATCTTCTCTATATTCCTGATCCATACTCATGCTACCGGGGGTGTAACTGAATGTGTGGATTTCGAGGTTGGTGGCCTTCAAAGTGAAGTGAAAAAGTTAGTCTCCGCTTTAATTCTTGCTGGCGGTTACTAGCTAACTGAAATGTTATCCTAATCCCTTCTCAGTGGTGTTTATGTTCGCTCCTCGGCTCCTGTATCCCCTTCTTCTTTATTGTGTTTGACCAAGATTTTATCCAAACTTTGTCCTTAATATCTTTGTAATTGAATGTTTTCTTATCGAAGCAACGTTGTTATCTCCTATCATAGTTATATTTTATAATAGTTATCTGAGATTTGAGAAGTTAACTTTATAAGGGTTGACTAGCCTTATCAGATCATGTATGTTGTTTTGTTTGCTTTTTGCGATTACTGATAGAAGGTTTATTGGGTTAGCTTCTAGTTAGCCGTTATTTATTTTATCGGCTAACATTTTTATCCTCTCGTACATAAGCTGACTTCCAGCTCTGTTTAAAGAGAAGTTGGATTCCCCAGTTTAATTTTGAGTTGTTGAACAGACTGGGTCAACATGTGTTATCGCCAGTTTTATTTTAGTTATCCGTTAGTTGTTTTATCGGTTTAAACTGTTGCCCTATTTACTCGTTGTTTAGCTCACTTCCAACTCAGTGTATACAGAAGTTTGCTCCCAGTTTAATATACATGCTTCATCGTATTGGGATAACATTTGTTATAATCGGTATTATTTTTAGTATCTGGTAGCTGTTATATCTTGAGCCTATTTTGAGCTCAGGTCATTGAGTAGATGGCTTCAAGTTTAATACTCAGGTTTCAACATATCGTTGTGTTATTTTAATTACCTGCTAGTAGTTATATCGACTAACAAGGTTACCCATTTTAAACTCGTTGTGTTTTCTTTGAGGAAACCCCGTAATTTCACGACGTCGTTTCGTGAGCCCTCTTTTTAACCCAACATATCTTACTCTTTACTTTTAATATGTAGTCATAGATTGATTTGGGGTTTTTTCTAATTAGGGTTCTGGGTCTGCGACGAGCTTCCTAATTCCCAACCAACAATGTCTTCATCAGCTTCTTCAGATAAGTAATTGAGATTGTAATGTGTTTAGTTTCTTAAAATATGTATGTAGATTATGATAGATTCATTTTTTTGTTGCGGATTTGTGAAGGAGTGAGCAATAGTCTTTCTGTCGGAGGAAGTGGAATCCCAAAACAATGTAGCTGTGATAAATTCGCTGTGATTAAGACTTCAAACACAGTGAAAAATCCTGGAAGACTCTTTTATTGTTGTCCTAACGGATCGGAAGAGGTATTCTTTTCTTAAGCTATAGAATCTAGTATTAAGAAGAGTAAATTGTCCTCATGGGTGTATTTTTGTTGTAGAATAAGAATCATTTGTTTAAGTGGACCGACATATCCATGGTTGAAGAGATGGAAGAGGTTGAAAGTATGGTTGAGAAGATAGAAGGAGATGTGGGAAACTTAGCAAAAGCATTACATGATCTTGCATCTATCAAAGAAAGCGCAGAAAGGTGTGAGAAAGAGATTGTGTATCTTAAAGGTGTTGTCAGTTTGTGTGAGAAAGAGATCCAAGAGCTACGGAGCTTCAAAAATATGATTGTGTGTGGTGGTTTGGTCATGGCTGGTGTCTACTATTTCTTCTTTGCATAACAGTTCTATTCCTGTAGTTTGTGTAATTTTGTATTGTTGTTTATGAGATTGTCTTGTATTGGTTTATGAGAAGTATGTACTGGGAATTAGATGGTTTGTAACAGATAACAGTTTATCGCGATACTGTTGTTATCTGATCATGTTATTAGTTTTGACTCTTTTGCAAAAACACAGAGGGAATATAGGTTGTAATTGAGTTAGGCTTTATATGATGTATCGCCTATCATGGTTATCATGATGAGAAACTTTGCTTCGATCCAATAGTTTTGGAGAATATGTGTTATCTTTGTTAGCAGATACCGGTTTTTCAGATAATTGTAAACAATATCCTGACATCTCGATCCTTAGTTGTAATTTCCAATTTTTATCCCAACTTATAGATGATAAATAATAGTCCATCTTGATAACTTACTTCTCCGAGCTTATTGTCGGTTAGCTAGCACCGGGGCATAGAGATTGCTCTATCATTGGTACGCTTAATAAACATTGTCATTATATTGAACATTCCTTCCTTAAAGATGGATGGGATTCGATAATTTTACATTTAAGGAACAGAAGCCGTACGTATATACAATGAAAAATTTCTGATCCTCTGAGTTCCTTATTTATTTCACATCGCCAGGCCATTTTCTTTGTTAATCCTGACAACATCCATCCATCACTTTCCTCGCCAAAAAACTTCCTTGCTTCCTTTCTCTATGGCCCTTGCATTCCAAAGAGATACACTCAATATCCCTTAATTTATTTATTAACTGTTAATGTATTTATTACCGTTATTGGACCATTGCAGGTTGCCCTGTTATGACCTAATGACTTGCATCGTGAGCATCTTTTCCTTGATGTTCTCTACAAATATAACAGAATGTTACCCCCTAATAGTGTTATCATATAAGCAAGTTACTAGTGTTTATCTCATAATTGTTCACGGTTGATACCTTGAACTCGCCTCTTGAGAATAACCTTCGTTCCCTGGGTCGGCCAGGCGGTCTCCGGACATATGGTGGAGCCAGTTTCCCCCCCCCCCCCCCCCCTAACATCATTTGGGGAAGGAGTCAGCGTCTCCGTGTCTGGTACCGGCATGATTAGTGCTTGGTAAGACAACCTAAGCTGGGGGGTGATGTGATGGACTCCAACCATTGTGTCCACTCAGATTCCTTTTTGTATTGCTGCCGCTATGGCATGAGAGCAAGGGATTGTTAGCAGCTGAAACTCCCTGCACGTACATGTTCTCTCCCATAGATTGACCGCAAAAGCTGCGCCTCCTTTTTCTCTAACTTCAAATAGCCCATCCCCAATCATTATTACAGCACATCCCGCTCCCTTCTCGTAATTTTCGATTACCATATCGTGCACCTTTGGTGGTAGGATATTGTCCTCAAGCTGGGCAGCTTGCATCCTAAGCGCAAACCATGTTACGAGAGTTGTGCGGATAGACTCTAAGATTGAGATTACCAGGTAATCGCGCGCCATGGTTAACACATTGTTTAGCGACTCCGCAATATTACTTGTCATGAAGTTATATCTATTTCCAACAAAATGGGATCTCGTCCAATTCTCAAACCCATTACCTGCAAGGTAGTCAGCGCACGGTCCATGTTTAGCCCTAATTTCTGCAAAAATCCGATTGAAGTCACTTAGCCGATAAGCCCTCGCTGCACTTGATACTAGGGCACTTAGCTGATCAGATTTAAAGTAAGCCTCAATGTTCCTTTTCAGATGGACGATGCAAGCAGCATGAGATGACATTGGGTAAACCTGCGCAAAGACTAGAGGCGTTAATGTCTATTTTAGCATGCGACATATATTTTGGGATAAGTTCATTTGTATCCGTTACTAACTATGTTACTTCGTTACCTTGCGGATGCTGGAATAAATTGAGGAGTGCCTGTCAGACACAAACACCAACTCCGGATCATCTGATATAGCTTCTGTCAGCTTAGTCATGAACCAAGTCCACGCCTCATCGTTCTCACTGTTTACTATCCCAAATGCAATGGGAAACACTTGAAAATTCGCGTCTTGTGCACTAGCTGCAATTAAGCATCCGCCATATCGTCCTCGTAGGTGAGTCCCATCAATGACTATCACCTTCCTCATGTAAGCATATCCTTGAACACATGCATGAAGCGCAAAAAACAAGTACTTGAGTCTCTCTACGCCAGAGTTATCCTTCTCAGTCTCCATTGCTACTAGGGAATTTGGATTTGTCTCTAAAAGTAGCTTGAAGTATGGTTGGATTAGAGCGTAACTTCCCATAGCTGACCCCATTGCATTGTCCATAGCTATTTCTCTTGCCCGCCATGCTTTCCAATATGAGACGTTGAGGCTGAATTCCTGTCGTAGCATCCTTCTCAGCTCATTAACTCGTGGTCCCCTGCATACTCCAATATATTTCGTTCGCATTAACTTTCCAATTACAGCCGTTGACGCTTGCTTGTGGAAGTCTCCTCTAGCATCCACGCTACATGTGTGGTTTGGAGTTGTGCTTCTGACCTCGAACCGATCGCTATCTGCTAGCTTAGTTGCATAAACCCGCCACGGACATGTATGGCTGACGCAGACAGCTGCCACAACGTTAGGCCCGGATTTCGCATATATGAAATGGAACTTCCGACGAATCGCATGAATGGCTAGTTTAGTTGCACAATCCTCTTTTGTTTTGAAAATCCTCCCTATGTAAATGTCATCTCCTTCGTAGTCAGCATCCTTTAGGGCTCTTTGGAGAGCATCTGAGAATGAGGAAACAAAGCAGCCGACATTAATAATTAATTCATGCACTAACTATTCTATTATCATGATAGTGACGTTACCTCGATAACTAGTTGTTTGATAACTATTTTCTTAACATAAAGGATAAAATATTATTTAGCGTTCTAACACTATTGTTATCATTTAGTCTTAATATTTATTCGTTACCTTCCTCCCCTGGATCGTCGAAATATGGGGGAGGCATCTCTGTCATAGAAGACCGTTGGAATGGGTATATCCTTCACGATCATCTCATTCCTCTGTACCTCCGACACTCTTGTGTTAGTTGATGGCATCCCTATTTCTTTAGTGGATAATCCGTCGTCTATCATGATACTTTTGCCTTTATCTATCATTGTGATAGGTTGAGCATCCATAATCAGTGGGCCATCAGGATCAGAATAAAAGTGTGCTAGTGTTTTGTCACCTACAATTAGAAGATTTTGATGGTTGTTATTAACGCATAAGATAACTAGCGGATAATATATTAATAATTGTCTAACATACCTAAGAGCGATAAGCTGTTGTTGTTCGACGAGCCAGTATCATCCATTACATCTTCGGTACTGAAAGACATGCTTGTCGAAAGCGAGGTTGGCGTTCCGAAGGTTGAATCGCTCGACGATAAAGCGACCACTGGTGGACCAACAGCTTGTGCTTCTGCACTCGCAAGGGTTAGACGCAAATTCTCATTAGGATCTCCCTTTGCCTGATCGCTACTTCCAAAATCTACGACTCTCGCTGTTTTCTCTTTCTCGACCACATTTGTTGGATTAGTTTGAGTTCCCCCTAGGGTCATTTGTGTTGCACACATCTCTCGCCACATTTCTTCCTGTTGGGTTTTTCGCCACATCTCAAATAAACGATCTCTTTCCCTTTCCTCGTCGTTAATAACTTTCTCTTTTCCCTTCAAGCTTGTTGGGGTCGGATCCCACACATTTTCGGTAGGATCCACTTGGATCTGTCCACGTCATTATTACATAATAATCCTCTCGGAATTCAAGATATTTTATTTAACTTGACCGGTCGGGAGTTCGATTCAGTCCACTAGGAGAGTTCGATCTTTGCCAGTATGGAGTTCGCTCTTATTCGATATATAGTTCGCATAGAGAAAGGCCGAAGCGAGGAGAGTATTGTTCGAGGCTCGCAGTAGCGTCAAAATGCGGGAGTTCGGAGTCAGCAAGAAAGAGTTCGGAAAACCCATGTGAAGCCCAAGATAGTTCAAATTCAAGCCGTTTCGGTCAAATTGTAACTTACATGATTATTGCGGATTAATATGATTATGAGTAGTAAATGACCGCATTAATCGTGTTTTTCTCTATAAAAATAACCTCAAACGCAATTGTTTGGGGGACAGACTTTTACACACTACGATTAAGCAATACAACATACTTTCCCTCTTTACTATTTCGCAAGGCTTTACGTATTTCGTTCTTATCAAATTTCTTTACTTTTTCTTCTTGGTTAATTTCCCTTTCGAATTCCCATATTCATTTGTTGATTTTAAGAGTTTTTCTCCACTGAAATACTTAAAGATAATTGAGTGTGAATCCTACATCCACATTTTGGCGCCGTCTGTGGGGATCTACCACAAAACACTTTAATCTCAAAATCCCTGTTTTCCAACCAAGAAACTATGTCTGAGCAACAAACACTGAACGATGCAATCGCCTTGCTTAATTGTGGATGTAGGATTCACACTCGATTGTCTTTAAGTATTTTTGTGGAGAAAAACTCTAAAATCAATGGATGAATATAAGAATTCGAAAGGGAAATTAACCAAGAAAAGAATAAAGTAAAGAAATTTGGCAAGAATGAAATAATAAAAGCCTTGCGAAATTGTAAGAGAAAAAGTATGTAGTATTGCTTGATAGTAAGGAGTAAAAGATTGTGTCTCCCCCAAACACATGCGTTTGAGGTTGTTTTTATAGAGAAAACATGATTAATGCGGCTATTTACTACTCATAATCATATTGATCCGCATTAATCACATAAGTTACATCTTGACCGAAACGGCTTGAATTTGAACTTGTCTTGGGCTTCACGTGGGCCTTCCGAACTCTTTCTTGCTGACTCCGAACTCCCGTGCTTTGATGCTACCGTGAGCCTCGAACAATATTCTCCTCGCTTCGGTCTTTCTCTATGCGAACTGTATGTTGAATAAGAGCGAACTCCATACTTGTAAAGATCGAGCTCCTTTGGTAAACTGAATCGAACTCCCAACTGGTCAAGTCCAATAAAGTATCCAGAAATCCGATAGGATTATTGTGAAATAATGATGTGGACAGATCCAAGTGGATCCTACCAAAAGTGTGTGGGATCCGACCCCAACATTTAGCCCCCCAAGTCTTGCGAGCTGAGTGCTCGGCTTGGAAGACTTAAGTAAACAGTAATTAATGACTCGAGATCTTTAACATTCTGGAATTTCTCCATGTTTTACGCTATTACGCTGATCTCGGATAATCAGATGATTTGATTTCCCTGACAACTGTCATCATTAATTTCTTAATTTTATATTAATACCACGGGGAAAACTGTCCCGCTTCCCAATATTCTCGAGGCGGTCTTTCATCATACTTTAGGGTTCTAAGAGGTAATGTTACTTTTCCATCTAATCTTCTTTACCTAGAGAACTTTCATTCTTATTACAGAAATCATTGTTTCCTTTCGGTAAAAATCCCTTCCGTAAAATGTCGAACCTTTCTTCTGAATTGCGCGAGTATGAGGTTGATGATTTCGAAGTTCTCATGGGTGAAGGAACCGAACCTCAAATCCAAACCGGAGACGAGTTTGATCTTCACCCACAGAGTGAATCGACTGTCGATTCTCTTAACAATCTTCGTAGATTATGTCACATCCCCCCTGAGGTGGAGATGGTAGTTCCGGAGCCCTTCGAATCTCCGGAGTCGGGGCGAGAAGGTTACTGCTGCGCCTATGAAATCTATTTCAAAGGGTGCGGCTTATTCCTTCCCCTTTCTGAGATACTTCTCCTCTACCTCAACCATCTGGGAATTGCCTTCTCTCAGATGTCGCCCAACATGCTCCGGTGCCTTTTATGTACCTTTACTGTTGCGGCGGAGGCGGGCTACTCGCTGGGACTTAACGAGCTCTTGGAACTCTTCCAGGCTCGCGAATCCTGAACTCCTGGGTATTATGCCCTTTATCCGATCGTGGATCGGAATCTTATTGACGGCCTGCCCTTAAAGGACAATGCCTGGAGGAAGTTTTGGTTCTTCTTCCGCATAAATAATTTTTCTATTCAGAGTTCTTCTGAACTCCTTCGAGTCCACTGGTCATCGAATTTGGGTAGAAACTAGGACTTAACTGAATAAATTTCCTATATTATTTCAAACTGCGTTTGAACATTTCCTTGTTTTCTCGCAGGTCCCCAAATTCGACCAGTCCCATCCGTTAATTTTCTCAACTTCTACAAGGCCATCTTGGAGAGGCCAGTTAATTGGAATTCTTTTACTTTGGAAAGAATTCACGGTGCCGGATTTTCTGTCAGAATGAGCCTCACTAACCCCGTCGACCCTCCTCCAGTTGGGATTGATCTCTCGAGTTTGAACGCCCGAGATAGGAGAGAGATCAAAGAGGCAAACAAAAAGATCAAAGATCAGATTTCCCTAGTCGGGAGAGATAAGAAAAATGCAACTTCCACCGGAGACGACAAAGTCTACCGGAAAACTCTCCTGGTTGACGATGGATCTCTTGAAGGTTCAAAGTCACTGGCGGTTGTTGTGAACAATGCTCCTCCCTCTACCCCAGCAGCAGACAACGTGGTTGCTGCCACTGCTGAGGAGGAAGGCCTTGCGGGTGATTCTTCTCTCATGAAGAAGAGGAAGGCCGAGGAACTTGAACCCCTGCTCCAGGGGCGTCCCAAGAGCACAAGGAAGGGCAGAGCCGCTCCTTCGAATCTGTCAATTCCTGAACCTGCTGAAGCTGAGGATGTAAATCCTGATTCAAGAACTGTTTTAAAGGAACCGCTGGGTTCAGGGATGTTACCCCCTAGACGCCCCCGAGGCAATACCTCTAGGGTTCGATCGTCTCCGAACTCGGGACTGGTTGGCAGAGCTTCGTCCCAAGCAGGTAACCTTTAATTATCATTTTGTTACTTGAGATTAATCGACCTCTTTTTTTTAAAAAAAAAGCTTAATTCTCACATAACTATCTTTATTCTAGATAAAGAGAAGATCGGGAATATGTTTAGGTGCTTCCACACCCGCTTTGGGAAGAAACTCCCGTCCTTTGAGTGGTGGAAGCCAGATATCAAGAAGATGTATATAAGTCATTCATTCCACTCCTCCCAGGTTTGACTATTTGCATCTTTTAAACAACCGATTTCGAAAAGAAATTTTTTTTTTAAAAAAAATGCATCTTCTTTCATTAGGCAACTCTGGACGTAAATGGCATTGTCAACTTTTATGACGAGGAACCTGCCAAAGTTTCCAAGAAAGCTGTTGTTGCTGAAGGGGAGATTGAGAGACTGCAATCTTCCAGTCGGCTTGTGCAAGAGACTGCTGGCCTCGACTCGGCTCGCTAGGAAGAAATCGAGAGACTCGAAAGATCCGGCGAGGAGACAAGGAAGACTTTGATTGAGACAGAGCAAAAGCTAGAGGCTGCCCTCGCTGATCATAACTTCGCAAAAGGCGAGATCGAGCTTCTGAGATCAGAGCTTAACAGGGTTAAAACAGCTGCTGAGGAGCTCGAACGCAAAAATGAGTCTCTTTCCGAACTGAAAGATCGCGATGTTCGCAAAATATCTCATGATGCTTGGAAGGAAGTTAAGGGAGCTGGGCAAAAGTTTCTTCTTGCTGTGCATGAATTTATTGCTGCAGATAAAGCTTGGAACAAACTTAACTCCGAACGTGATGAGATGAAGAGCAATCTCGCTCTGATCAAGGAGATAGAGGACGGAACAGTCAACTTGGCTGAAGAGAAGGAGACAGTTGGCGCTGAGCTCGCTGAGACTGAAGCTAAGCTAACTACTGCTCCTCAGCCATATTTGAATTTGCAGCAGTTTGCTTCTGAGTTTGCTGATTCCCCTCCACTGACTGAACCAAATATTGGTTTGTCTCTGGACGAGATGATGTTAACCGGTTCTCCTCGCGCTCATTTTAATGAGTTCGGAACCAATGTTGACAGAATCTCCTCGGGACGAGCTCAGGGGCTCTCTGATCAGGAACTTGTCATCTCCTCGATTATGGGAGACGACGTTGCATCGGGGGTGCTCTTGTCTCAAGTCAAGTAAGAGATGAAGGCGGTTCGCCTATGAATGAATGATGGTGATTGCATTCACCTTATGTGGGGATTGTCCCTTTAATTTTTAAGACATGAAATTTGCTTTGTTGGCCATGGGGCCGTTTTATTACTTTTGAGTTTTTTGCCCGAGGGGGCTTTTATTATTGTTTCGAATAATTTTCCCAAGGGGGTTAATCAAAATTTCTTTAGGAAGAAGTATTTAATTTTGGTGGAAACCATCGATTTTACCTGGAGGGTTTGCAAAGTCCTCCTAACCGAAATGGTTTAAGATTATAGGAGAGATAGGCTGATCAGACCTACTTGCCTTTTTTAAAGAAAAAACATTAGAATTTTTCCTCGGTCTCTCGGTTGCGAGGATGGAGCTCGGCTTACAAGAACACTTCGCGATACTTCGAAATGTGTTCGATTAGAAAATTTTCAGTAAGAACTGTTTGCTTTTCTTAAAAAGGACAAAAAAAAGGTTTGATACCATTTAATAAATGTCCTCGAATTTCACGTTCGAAATTAAGTTCGCCTGCTAGAACTGAGAGGAAAATCCGACGTTTGGAGTTGGATGTTCATAACTGGGA